GGCTTTGTCATTCTTGAGAAGAAGATTTTTAAAGAATTTTCCTAAACATTTCTATGTAAAAATTTGGTCGGCCATTTTGGCCCCGCCCTACCCCCGGGGGTCATGATTTGAACAAACTTGAATCTACACTACCTGAGCATGTTTCCATATAAATATGATGAATTATGGCTTTGTCATTCTTGAGAAGAAGATTTTTAAAGAATTTTCCTATATATTTCTAGGTAAAACTTTGGTCGGCCATTTTGGCCCTGCCCTACCCCCAGGGGTCATGATTTGAACAAACTTGAATGTACACTACATGAGCATGCTCCCATATAAATATTATGAATAATGGCTTTGTCATTCTTGAGAAGAAAATTTTTAAAGAATTTTCCTATATATTTCTATGCAAAACTTTGGTCGGCCATTTTGGCCCCGCCCTACCCCCGGGGGTCATGATTTGAAAAAAAATTGAATCTACACTACCTGAGCATGTTTCCATATAAATATGATGAATTATGGCTTTGTCATTCTTGAGAAGAAGATTTTTAAAGAATTTTCCTAAACATTTCTATGTAAAAATTTGGTCGGCCATTTTGGCCCCGCCCTACCCCCGGGGGTCATGATTTGAACAAACTTGAATCTACACTACCTGAGCATGTTTCCATATAAATATGATGACTTATGACTTTGTCATTCTTGAGAAGGAAGATTTTTAAAGAATTTTCCTATATATTTCTATGTAAAACTTTGGTCGGCCATTTTGGCCCTGCCCTACCCCCAGGGGTCATGATTTGAACAAACTTGAATCTACACTACCTGAGCATGTTTCCATATAAATATGATGAATTATGGCTTTGTCATTCTTGAGAAGAAGATTTTTAAAGAATTTTCCTATATATTTCTATGTAAAACTTTGGTCAGCAATTTTGGCCCCGCCCTACCTCCGGGGGTCATGATTTGAACAAATTTGAATCTACACTACCTGAACATGTTTCCAAATAAATATGATGAATAATGGCTTTGTCATTCTTGAGAAGAAGATTTTTAAAGAATTTTCCTATACATTTCTATGCAAAACTTTGGTCAGCCATTTTGGCCCCGCCCTACTCCTGGGGGTCATGATTTGAACAAATTTGAATCTACACTACCTGAACATGTTTCCAAATAAATATGATGAATAATGGCCTTGTCATTCTTGAGAAGAAGATTTTTAAAGAATTTTCCTATATATTTCTATGCAAAACGTTGGTCAGCCATTTTGGCCCTGCCCTACCCCCGGGGGTCATGATTTGAACAAACTTGAATCTACACTACATGACCATGCTCCCATATAAATATGATGAATTATGGCCCAGTGTCATTCTTGAGAAGAAGATTTTTAATGATTTTCCTATATATTTCTATGTAAAACTTTTGTCGGCCATTTTGGCCCCGCCCTACCCCCGAGGGTCATGATTTGAAAAAAATTGAATCTACACTACTTTAGCATGTTTCCCTATAAATATGATAAATAATGGCTTTGTCATTCTTGAGAAGAAGATTTTAAAGAATTTTCCTATACATTTCTATGTAAAACTTTGGTCGGCCATTTTGGCCCCGCCCTACCCCCGGGGGTCATGATTTGAACAAACTTAAATCTACACTACCTGAGCATGTTTCCATATAAATATGATGACTTATGGCTTTGTCATTCTTGAGAAGAAGATTTTTAAAGAATTTTCCTATATATTTCTATGTTAAACTTTGGTCGGCCATTTTGGCCCCGCCCTACCCCCGGGGGTCATGACTTGAACAAACTTGAATCTACACTACCTGAGCATGTTTCCATATAAATATAATGAATAATGGCTTTGTCATTCTTGAGAAGAAGATTTTTAAAGAATTTTCCTATACATTTCTATGTAAAACTTTGGTCGGCCATTTTGGCCCCGCCCTACCCCCGGGGGTCATGATTTGAACAAACTTGAATCTACACTACCTGAGGATGTTTCCCCATAAGTTTCATCTTTCCTGGCACAGTAGTTCTTGAGAAGAAGATTTTTAAAATATACCTCTAAATTTTCATTAATTCCCAATTTTCTCCCCTTGAATAAGGGCATGGCCCTTCATTTGAACAAACTTGAATCCCCTTCACTCAAGGATACTTTGTGGCAAGTTTGGTTGAAATTGGCCCAGTGGTTCTTGAGAAGAAGTCGAAAATGTGAAAAGTTTACAGACAGACAAACAGACAGACGGACAGACAGACGGACAGACGGACGCCGGACAAAATGTGATCAGAAAAGCTCACTTGAGCTTATGATGGTGATAAAATGTGATCAATTTTTAACAGTTACAACATATATCTTGTATATTATTCATTATAATTACAGATTTTCATTGCAGAAAATACCTTGATCAAGGTATTTTAAATACCTTGATAAAGCTATATAGCTTTATCAAGCTATATACCTTTACCGGGGTATTGTGCTGGACTTAATATAATAATTTGATAATTTTGATGTAGGAAATGAGAGATGTAATATTTTTTTAACTTGATCTGTCTTGGGACCTGGCCGGTGTACTCTATATAAAAGCTTCACAATACCTTTACATTTCAAGTTATTTCCGTAATATTATCCACAATGAACACATAACACTAACAGTGAGTGGGTGAGTGACGAAATATTTTGCTGAATGACAGTTACATGTACGCAATTTTGTGAATAACGATCCCGACTTTTTAAAGACGTTCGCTTAAATGTACTTGGACACAGATTTGAAGTTAATATTTTCTCATTTTTTCTGTACAATATCACGAATTATATATTTTAATAGCATTTCACACAAAAATAATTAAAAATCTTATTTCATTTAAAAGTTATTAAAACTTTTAATTTTTTGGCGGGCTTGATTGACACATCCTTGCACTTTCACAAATTTTAACTTTATTCATAATCCTTAAGAAAAGTGGCAATTTTGATGTGTTTTAATGAGAAATATAAAAACTTTTATCAAGAAAAATAATTTTATTCAGAGTAGAAATATTAGAAAGCAAAACACCTTCATATGAGTATCGTCATTCCGAACTAAGAGATGCGTACAGATCTAGAGTTTAGCAAATCCAGCACATTCTTGTTATGTACACAGTTTTTGTAAACACGGCTCGAGTTCTGTTATTGTTTATATTTAGAATTCACTGGGCACATGCTTCAATCGTCACAGTCTGCTTACCACAACTGCACGGATTGACAATATATTGTGTGTTTGTTTTGCTTTCGAACGTGTCTACTCTGAATTTTCTGGATTATAGTATTAATATTTTTCATTTAAACAAAACGAGATTGCCACTTTTCTTAAGATTTAAGAATAAAATCAAATTTGTGAGAGTGCAAGGATATGTCAATCAAACCCGCCGAAAAATTTGAAATTTTAGTATCTTTTAAACGAAATAATTTTTTTCATTAATATTTTACCCTCGGCCAACTCGGCTTAAAGGAGTAAACTATCTCCAGTTATCAATTATCAACCCAGGTAACCCAGGGGATTTCTGAACTATGGTCAACGCTAAATGAAAACACAGATGTAAGTTTTATCAGTTTAATAAAGTGAGAATTAACCGTTGTAAATGATAACAAATAATAAATAATGATTAAAATTTAACAATCAGAAAAGTCTTTGAAAATGGCACAGGATAAATAAAAATTTATCAAAAATTGATTTAATCTGTTAAGTTAATCTCTATAATCTCAGTGATAATAATCTCAAAGAATAAATAATTGAAAAATGTAATGAAAAATGGGAAGAATGTGGCAAACTTATGAAAAATAATCCATGTCCCTACTGGGCTTCCATACTTATGAAAATGATCAAAAATCCTATAAAAATCAATGAGATGGAAAAATGAAAAGGGAATGACCTACATCACCCAATATGACACTATCAACACTCTAGAGTTAATCTGAAAATATTATACTAATTCTAGGCTCTAAAAAATAACTGACCCAGAAAATAAACAACACCCAAAAATAAATAATAAATAGTGGTTCTAGAAAATAAACCTGTTATCTACATATCCCTAGACCAGGCTGGACTTGGAAAGGGAAACTAAATTTACTTTAAATACCCTACATCGATCTTAACTGTTTCCTAACATGTGAAAAACGTGAAACTAAATCTAAGCCAAAACCTAGAGAACTGTTAAACCATAAGGTTTTCTTAGCCCACTAAGTATCTAATCAAACAGTGCTCCTAAACCATAAGGTTTTCTTAGCTCAGAAAAGAGGAACAAACCATGAGGCTGTGTTCCCCAACCCAAGTGAAGAAAACTGTTAGAACATGGGTTTAAATACCCTAGCTAGGCCCAAAATAAAAGCCAATGACTATCAAAGATCCTAAAGCTAAGTTAACCAATCAGAACGCAGCTATCAAAAGTACTACGTATACGGACAATCGCAACTTCTCGGGCCTTTCCGACTAGCGGAAAAACGACCTCGAATGTATATGGTAGACGCCATGACAACCTTCCTTTTTCATGATCTTTGAAATAAATGCATGGAGACCTTTTATCTGTGGAATATGAAGTTCAACTTTATTCGATGTAATGATATTACCTAAAATATACCATAGAAGAGACTTCTAACTCCCCCTTCTCTCCTACATTTGACTAAACAGGAAATGTATAAATTTTTAACATCCGGCGATGTGAATACATTCGAGGTTGTTTTTCCGATCTCTGACGGAAAGACCCGAGATGATGCGATTGCGTATACGGAAAGACTGCCAACATGGATGACATTTCCTGTTTAAAAAGCAAAACATGTGGAATGTCAACTCATGTCCTAACTTATAAAGACTAATAATAAAGGACTTTTACTACGTAACAACTGAAAACAAAAGGTAAATAGAATTATCAGACTGAAATACCAGCAAATACTTATAAAATAAGAATTACGAAACGAAGGCTATGAAATAAAAATCTAAACCACTACATTCCTCCCCCTTAAAAAAAACAAAATTTACACAATAAATTTTCGTTTCAGAATAAATTAAAGAAATGTCAGAAGAAATGTGGTTTCTGGTCCCGAGCATTCCATTCTTGGAGGTTAAAGAGTGGCTTCACCATACAATGCCAAGCCCTTGCCGCTACGTCGCGTGCCTCCCGGTGGATAGTGGGTAGTGGCATCCCAATTCTGCCGGGGTTTACAAATCTAGGGTTGTCGATAATGGACGAATTCCAACATCCTTGTAAATTTGAGTGCTTGGCTCGCATGTGACGCCGAAGCATGTTCATCTTAAATGAGGAAAAGGAACATGATGAAGAGTAACAATAGTACACAGGAACTCGAGCCTTATGATATTTGATGAAATGTGCCCTGTACGATCCAATCTTTTGGAAGGTATGATTCGTCAAGGGACAGTTCTGTATATGGCACGTGTCTCCCTCGGACGGCCACTCCTTCTGAATCATATCCTCCCCACAGAGGGCCTCCATCTCCTCGTCTGGAACACTTAAATCAAGAACTTCTGACATCTGAGAAACATGAAAACATTGTAAAACAAGGATTAGAACAGTATTAAAGCAAATTAATTACCATCAAATCAAGTTTTGATGTCAATTTATCTCCATGAAAATAACTTTTAAGATTAAAATCTCAAATTCTAAGACTTTAAATATTTTCTGAATATATGGAAAGTTAATCAATATAGTTATCTACCAAATTCAGAATCCACTGAATTTAAACCAAAATGTTATCAAGTAGTGCACATACTTATAACATAACCTAACAAGGGATGACCATGCATCACCAGTCCCATAGATAAACTATAAGAAAAACTTAAGTGTTGATTTCAGCACAGTACAAGGGAGATAATTTAAAGATCATCTACGGTTAGTATTCCCCATTTTCAAAAGTGAGTTATCTCCCCTAGAAATCGGAACTCTTCTAAACTAACACAACTTCCTTGGACTACATTGCTGTTACATTATGGAAGACGTAGGCCTAACGATATTCAACGATTGGAATATTACAAAATTAAGAGAATTTTTGAAAGATAATAACCAAATTGTATCAGGTTGTAAAAAAGAACTTGTAGAAAGAGCGAGAGGTGTCCTTGTTCTGAAATTAACAGATGTTGATAGGCAAAACGATGTTGTTCGACCGGCAATTTCAAATTTTCCCGATGGACAATCTGTACTAAATTTAAACAATCTGTCTAACTGGACCTCAAATTTATCATGCATTCCCGATTTTTCAGAAAAGGACATTTATAACTATTTAGTTATCAAACTAAACACTAATAGACATCTGAAATCCAGTGTATTCCTTGAGGACAAACATGTCCATTCGGTGGAATACAGTCCGGTCACTGATGATTGTAGCCATTGCTGCATTCGATGTAAAGTGATCCCATCATTTCCATCAGCTGACGCAAACAAGCGCCCTGGGGAAGTTTCTAGTATGCCGGTCCCCAGAAGGACTTGGTCAGTTCTTTTTTTTATTTTGACTAATCTGAATATTATTATAAATAAAAAAAATCATCAATAGACACAATGAAATGGACGGGTACAATATCGATGCGGACGTGGGGAAAACATGGGATTGAAATTGCTGAAATTCATTTTCAATCCACCTCAGCTACCTTAGAAGGCATATTATTTATGATTGATCCTAAAGACATATAATTTCAATTTTGGTATAGTTTGAAGATAATTTTATACATGTTATATAAATCAGAATTTTCTGTCCAGTGTTTCAAAGAAATATATAAAGGGACTAATATTTGATTAATGTTTGGTATTATTTATGTAAGTGTGCGATGGGGGGGGGGGGGGGGGGGGGGGGGGGGGGGGGGGGGGGGGGGGGGGGGGGGGGTTAACAATAAGTAATAAAAAAATGTGAACTTCAAACAATATGTATTTGGGAGTTGAATTTAGTTGATTTTAGATCATACATTCACTCTTTGCTTTGAAAACAGCTCGGGTGGATTGAAAATGAATTTCAATCTGCAACTTTAATCCGATGTTTTCCCCACGTCCGCGTCAAATTGTACCCGCCCATTTCTTGTCTATCAGGCTCTAATTATATAAATTCGCTCTTGCGTACATATGGGGGGACAAATAGAGAAATTTGTAGACACTCTTTTTTCTTCAATTTCTTTATGTATATTTGAAGTTTACACTTAAATAAGGGTGAAATAATGTTTGAATAGATAATCAAATTAAAAATTAATATTCTATTAATGTTTGAAATGTGTGTAACGTAACATATGACAGACATATAATTTAATTTTACCTGTATCAAGCAATTTCATAGGCTGAATCATTCTGAGGAACATATAATATTTTGGATAACATAACTTGCCTACGTCACAATGAGTTACGTCAAAAACGTATTACTGCGCTTGACGTTAATTTTAAAATAATGCTCAATTTGAAGCCTTTTTCCTGAGGAAATATTGTCTCATTGTCTACACTGAAATTAAATTATAAGAAATGAAGCTTATTTCAACTTATGTTATCCGATATAACAAAACTTGGGACAGTTTACGCTTTCTTATAAACCGCTTCGCGGTTTATAAAGCGTAAACTGCCCCAAGTTATGTTATATCGGATAACATAAGTTGAAATAAGCTTCATTCCTTAAATAACGTAACATGACAGATGTGTAACATATTATGACATGATTAAGTAACATTTTTGATGTTTAACAATACAAATAATTAATAAAAAATAAATTCAAACAATTCTTTAAAAAATGTTTTAAAAAATCATTCTGACAAAGATTGAAAAAAAAAACGATTTTTAGGCTACTTTTGATGCAAAAACTGACGAACGTAACACTGACAGACTTCTTTACTTAAGCCAGCCAGGTCACCTTTAAACTTCATTATTTTAGCAAAAAGGTAATGTTATCTTATGAAAATGACATTATTCAAATTTTGATTCCTTATCAATTTTAAATTTGAATTTTTCTAAGATAAATCTCTGCCATACGCTTTGTAACATACAAAATTTCAACCATGTCTGTCATGTTACGTTATTTCTTGAGCAATACCCGTTTGAAATGAGCCAATAAAATTTATTATTCAAAGCTAATCTTTAATTCTTAGGAATAAGAATACATGAAATAATATTATTTATGAAAATTCTTATGAATTTTTGAAAATATTATTTTATATTGATAAAACCTAAAACAAAACATGGACAGACACACGTAACCCTGACAGACACTTTTTAAAAACTGCAAGAAAATGACTACAAAATTGTAATGTTTGAGTTAAAAAGACAAATTCTGCCTTATAATACAATAATATGTTTGAATAAAATATCTTTTTGGTTTAATTCACTGAATGTTTAAATCTGAATGCATCTGTTTGATTAACGTAACATGGACAGACATTCGGTTTGTCCGTCATCGTTACGATCAAATTCGGACAATGTCTGTCATTCGGTAAGTTATGTAAGAAATTCCAAATTTGAAGTGTTTATCTATTACATAAAGAGCGTGCAAGTTCATAATTTAAACAAAACGTACAAAATACACCTACTAGTTGACAATATTTGGTGATATGTCTATAAAATCTAAGATAAAGACGACTTATAGTTTTGTGAATGTAACATACTTTTTGTAACGTAACACTTGGACAGACAAACTTTCGTGGCTTCTCGGAATCTCTCGGTAGCTCTTCCGATAGAAATGTAAACACATTTGCATAGAATACTGGAGAAATTTTAAATATTCATGACCTTAAGTCAAATGCATGAGAAGAAGCGTCTCCGAGCTCAATTCTTAAAAAAAACTATATGCGGTATTAACCAACATTTGCCCCGTCCTCAAACAGGGGAGTATATGCTGACTTCAAAGCACTGAATAATTTCATAAGTAATGTCGTCATATGTACGAAATGACGTCACAAATATGACGTAAATTTCAGTTTTTTATGGATTTTGCAGAAAAATATACATATTTCGTCGATATTTTAAATAAAATTCACCAAGCGCATGTGTGTTCAGGATAAATATTTTGAAATAATGTGTAGAATGATAATATCAATGAAATATGTCAATATTGTTCCTGAACAAACATGCGCTCTATAAATTTTAAAGCTTGAATTGTTGAAATTTTGTCCATTTTGTCCTCTTTCTGAAAAAGGATATAAAATTGGACTAGTTTGTGACGTCATAAAGACAGAAATTGTGAATACACCGCCCTGGAACTATAATATTTTCTGTTAACTTATATTTCCCGTACAACTTACTGAATTCAGCATATTTCAGGAAGTTTTAAAAATTTAACTTTTATGGGGGCAAACATATGCAATATACCGCATATAGTTCTTTGCACATAACGCCCACTTGTCATGACAGACACAGGAAGCATCTCACAGATTTGTTAATTTCTCAGAACATGCGCTTTTTTGTTGAATCTGTGATCACTTAATTGATAGTAAGAAAACGTAAATTTTCTTTCAGTAGACAAGAAAAATAAGAGAGTTTGCATAAGCAATGGCCCATTTTAGAGCAATGTATCCAGTGTACTGAGACGGACAGACGTTAAGTTCAAAATATGAGGAAAAATAAATTGCATTTGTTCTTTTATTTGAGACATAATGTGCATTAAAATACTTTTGTATGTTAATTTTATCCTTCCTAATCAGTGGTGAATGAAGATATTCTGTGTACAAGGTATCATCGCCGTATATTTTTCTTTTATTTTGACATGGTTGAAAATGTCCCCCTGCACATGTGTGATTCTAGTGGAATTTTCAAATTCATTTCAAGAAAAATAAGTAAGTTGATGAATTGTTGATGGAAAAAGGATATAAAATTGGACTAGTTTGTGACGTCATAAAGACAGAAATTGTGAATACACCGCCCTGGAACTATAATATTTTCTGTTAACTTATATTTCCCGTACAACTTACTGAATTCAGCATATTTCAGGAAGTTTTAAAAATTTAACTTTTATGGGGGCAAACATATGCAATATACCGCATATAGTTCTTTGCACATAACGCCCACTTGTCATGACAGACACAGGAAGCATCTCACAGATTTGTTAATTTCTCAGCACACTCGCTTTTCTGTTGAATCTGTGACCACTTAATTGATAAAAAAGTAAACTTTCTAACAGTAGACAAGAAAACTAAGAGTGTTTGCATAAGCAATGTCTCATTTGATAATAATTTACCATGTGTATTGAGATGGACAGACGTTACGTTCAAAATATGAGGAGAAATAAAATTCATTTTTTTCTTTTATTTGAGTCATAATGTGCATTAAAATACTTTTGTATGTAAATTCTATCCTTCCTAAACAGCAGTAAATAAAAATATTCTGTGTACAAGGTATCATTGCCGTAGATTGGTCTTTTATTTTGACATGGTTGAAAATGTCCCCCTGCACATGTGTGATTCTAGTGGAATTTTCAAATTCATTTCAAGAAAAATAAGTAAGTTGATGAATAAATCTGCTCATATTATCTTTTCTATATATTTGCAATATAGTTTTCAATATAAAATAATTTTTATTTCAGATTTTTCAATAATTTATGAAATATTTCTCTTGTAAATGTCATAGGTCAAATTGTACACAAGAGCGAATTTAGAGCCATCACTGAATGTTTTGATTGTAACTTATAGAAATGACGAAGGCTGTATATTTCCTATTTT